TTTTAGCACGTTTACTTACAAAAACCAATATGAAAAGGATGGCCGATACTGATGCATGCGCATACATAAAATCTATTGATGAAAAGGCCTATAAGAACGAAGAGTACAGGCAAAAATGCACCAATGTAATACGTCATATAAAAAAAAGAGCATACCTACCTAATAATAATAAATCTCCGTTTAAAATTTACCTAATTTTCTGTGATTCTGTAAATTACATCTTCTCCTTGTCCAGTAGTTTGCAATTTATACTAGTGTTACTGTCGTGGTACGCAAAAGTATCAAAATTTTTGTCTTGATAAAAGAATTACTTTAATAGGGAGATGACAAAAAATTTAACATATTAATTCTTGTTTAATGTTGTGAAATGCAGTGCGATTTCCTCAAAATACGCCGAAGAAGTTTGATTATTTTGACGGAAAATTTTCTAATTGGACAGTAGACTGCTCGAAAACTTCTCCCCCTCCCTGACGTAATAGAGTACTGTTACCCTGGGCCGGTGTTATCTTTCTCTAGGATATTTCTGTATTAATTAAAAATTGAACCAAGTTTTGAAAAAGGCGAAACATGAGTAAATTATGTAATTTACCTCATGTATATATGAAAATGGTGTGGGATTCCCTTGCAGAACATTTGAATTTTACAAACATGAAAGTCGTAATGTAAAAGATTCTCACATTTCGTTAGCTGCATTGGTAGTTGAGTATTATTGCAGCAGGTATCCAATACGCTATAACAACCATATAAATTTAGATTTTCAATTTTAAGTAGTGTAGCGAGCACGAGTGTGTTTGTGTGCAATCGGTCACACGTGTGAGGCATAGGCTTATCGATTCGCCGACTAGCCGCGGGCGCCTTCCTTCATCTGCGCCGTATTTGTAAATATGTGTGTAGTACCTGCATTCTGGGAAAGCAGTTAAACATTTCAAAGAAAAAATAAACTATCCGGATGTTTCCAGAAGGTTCCAAAAAGTAAACAAAAGAGTTTTTAAAGGAAGAGACGATCGCCGAAAGGAGGGGAAATAAATTGACCGTTGCAGAAGTGAATTCAGAAATAAATTGACAATGATAGCAGTGAAATAAATAGCGCAGTGAATAGTGATATATCAACAGCAGTGTAAATCAATAGAATAATTAATAACCTAAGTTTAGTAATAATTTAATAGTGTCTTTAAATTCNGCTGTCAAACCTACACTAGCAAGGAGATCGGGCTGAAACTATAGCTACAAGCTATCCAAGGATGGTACTATAGAATGTCACCTCAAGGTAGGCCTAGTGGCGTCATCTCTTGGTTAGGCCGGAAACTTATCAATCCACCCTCGTATAATATCAAAAAATTCAAAACTGACAATTTTATTGTTTTTCTTTGTCAATAAACTACCCTCAAAACAACAAAGAAACTGGGACGTCCTTTGTAAGTCCTGAATGCATAAACGTTATGGGTTTTTGCTTAAAATATAATTTTTTGGCAGCAATAACACTGAGGTATCAGAGAAATATAACAGAAATAACATTAATGACGTCAAAATAGGCCCTAATATCAATATCGGTACACAATCAAATTTAAAAGGCTCATAAAATTAAATAACGCGCGGGTCACTATTTCCCAACAAGATTTATTTTTAAAAACATGAGTATTCTTTACTTATTTTATATTTATAGCTTCAGTCAAGGGACAAAAATTATGAAGATACGCATATGTATTAGCTTGTTTAATTGATTCCATTAAATTTGAATTTAATAATACGGTAGTACTTTAGAGAAAGCTATTATACGTTACTGACTGTTTTGTTCTCATATTACAGATGCATTATGCACCAATTAATCATAACTATAATTACAAGTCCCTTTTCATTTATCTGCGAACCTATATTAATTATTCAGCTAATAAAGTAGATAACATTACTGACCGAGTGTCTTTCAAATCATTACAATCACGATGTCATCAACTGAAACTTATTCTCGTTTTAATACAGTACAAGTTTACCTGAAGGAAACTAAAAAGTTCTACGATTGGGCTGGCCTAGAAATGAGCAGAAAGAAAGATATCGCATACGTTTTAAGAAAGTTGCTTTTCTTTTATACCTGTTTTGTTCATAATATTCTCATTGTGCTTTATGTAAGATCATCAGGTGTGGCACATAAATTTGATGAAACAATTAAAGCGATAGATTACGCGAATCATTTAATACCTGCAGTGATAATTGGTTTACAATGGATTCTATTCAAGAACGATATAATTAAGCATATGGATAATGTGGATGTGAATGTGCCAGATTTTGGAGAAGACAACGTTATAATAACGGAAATGATAGAAAAGGAAAATAAATTTAAAAGAAGAATGTTTTATACTTTGTGTATATGTGGAGTAATGACAATGCTAAGTAGTTTGATAGGTTGGATCATTTTCTGTTTGGTTGGTGATAATATCTATGAAGAATACACGGATGAATTTAATAAAACTGTCAGAATTTACACAGTTGACTTGCCAAGTCCCGTTTACATTCCTTTTGAATTTAGAACGACATTGAGCACTTATTTTAGTGTTGGGGCTTTCACATGGATTAGCAATATTATTATGGTTTTCATTATTGCAGGTAGCTAACAAACACAAACAGTGCAGTAAATGTCGAACTCTTTACATAGTAGAACCAAAAATTGTTTGATGATTTTAGGGTTAACTCTGCGATTCGTTATTAAAATAAGCAAAAACAACAAAAGGTTGCTTTAAGTGTTCACTTCTGATATTTGACAAACGCTAAAGCACCTGTTCAGCGCGGTTTGGAGTTGACAAGCGCGTCCTAGCGGTTTTTTTTATTTCTTTGTACGGAGGCCGCGAGCGCGTGGAATGTCGATCCACGCTCCATTTGGTGTGTAACATGGCCTTAAGAACATGTCAATACGTTCATACTCCAGGCCGCGTCGACCCCGTTACACAGAGTGTGGATTGAAAATCTCCCCGCCCAGATTAGAACAAAGGCAAAGGGCACACACATTGCCGCTCCTCGCACCCTGTAATATGACCTTTAAGCCTTTGTTACATGACGCATGGATTACCAACCCACGGCGGCGGCGAGCACGTGGAATACCGATTCACCTTTAAAATGGCTGGTACAAAACGAAGAGTCATAACTTTTGAAGAAAAGTGGACGGTACTCGTTCTTTTTTCCTAACTTTTTTCAAGTGTCAAGTGTGTATTTGTGTGTACTTCATACAACGTATATACAGTCTATTTCAATTTGTTAGAATTGTGACCTTGAAGAAATCTGCGCGAAGACAGAAAGAATACACACTAGGCGTGAGCAAGACAGAAATAGGTGGAACAAGCTTGAACGAGCAGAGCTCGCAACGGGCAGTCTTAGGAGTCCGGCTAGAACTGTACAGTACTAGACGAAAATGTTTAGCAATTTCCTAAAACAAAAATGTATATCAATCAACAATAGAAAACAAAGCAAAAGTTTTATAGGTGTATAGAACGTTAAGTTAATTCACGTGATATTATTTTTGGCTAAATATGCTTTTAAATAAAGCATATTCTTAAATTTTAACGAGGCAGTTTAAACAATTTTGCAAATGGTACTGTACATACACCTTTGTCTAGTTCTCGCTCGATGATCGGTGGAGAAATGAGCTCCGCATACAAATATGACTTAATTTGGAATTATGCTACGGCGCATCCTAATAAAGGGAAGGGGCATATCTCTAACTTCTTGAAACGAACAGTACATACCTGCATGTATATACTTCGTTTACTTTGCGATGTGCTCCTTCCAATGTCTTGGATGCGCACTGCCAAAATCGGAGGTAGGGAGAAAGAAGCTCATTATATTCTCGACTCTTCTACATTAAACATACTTTTTCGTACAGCACTTGCCAAAAGCCAAAAGTATTGTTCAATCGTGAACAGTAGTGCGTGTCGAAAACAAGCTTTAAAACCTTTAATATGTCTTCAAGTATAAACAAACATCCCGTTGATATTTTCAGTAGTAATTGGTACCAATAACACCACATTCGAGCAATGCAGTTCTAGTGAATGAAGTGGTCAATTTTTCTGTGCAGTACTGTACGGATTATACGCTCCTCACCAATTGAGAGTTTGGCCGAGAGTTGTCTCCTTCCTTTTCTGGCCTAGTGCTGTTCTTTTCTACTTTGCGCCGGTCAAGCTAAAGGTCAAATCGCTAGACAAACTAAATAAAGTGTACCTACAGATCTATTTGCTGTTTGTAGTGTGGTGTTGTGTGTAGTTATAATCGACCGTTATCCATTATTGTATGTACCGGTTATTACGTCAAAACATTGCTGGTTTCTAGAGTAACGCTGTAACTCATTTCTGTTGTATATGCAACTCTACAAGTGCTTCAGCAGGTACACCTGCGTAACTCTTGAATATTCGAAACAATTGAAGCGATTAAAATACGTATGTATATATTAGAAGTGAATCTTTAAAGCAATCCTTTGTTGTATTCGTTTTATAAAATGTAATGGTAAATGCACAATACATTTTCAGGAAACAACACCCTACTTTGTGCGCAACTTAGTTTCGCTTGTCTTCATTTGAATATCTTAAAGTTTATGTTTCAAACGATTCGACAAAGAAGCACGGAAAAACTTAACAAATCAGATCAGGAAAACAGTAGACTTATTGACATCGAAATGGAAAAAGAAATGAAAAGATGTGCAATGTATTTGGAGTCGATTTTAAAGTAAGTATTTACCGAACTATCTCTAGATGGATGGATGCACAATAAAATCGTCTTTCAACTCCAAATTACTTCAACTTGATTAATTAAATGTACGTTTACTTGACGGAAATTCATTGCTAAATTAAAAAATAAATCACAAATTTTATTGTAATAGTGCTTCACCACACTCCGACTTCTTCAGAATTTACTTGTACAATTCAATTCGTTTTAGATTATGTGCATTTACCGAAAAAAAGTACAACATAATAATTCTAATGGAGATTTTAGCTTCAGTTGCATTTATAGCACTATCCATAATGATGCTATTAATCGTAAGTAGTTAGTTCTTTTTATTAACTGATATACTTAAATAAAAGTTGTAGACCCCAATCACCGATCGTTTGTATGTGTCCCATGTATGGGTTATGATTTCAAGCGTGGCAATAATATTCTTTTATTGCCATTTTGGTAACGAATTAACGACAACGGTAAGAATTTAGAATTTTAAAAGAATTTTTGTAGGGTACAAAAAAATTCTCATTGTTAATGATTTTATATAAATTACTTCGACGATTTTGTGACTTTCGAAGTTAGTCAAGATCGCCATTGTTGCTGCTGTCACCTTTCGTAGCTTAGTGGTAGAGCAACGGTGCGTGAAAACAAAGGTCCCGGGTTCGATTCCCGGCGAGGGCGTGACATCAGCAACATTTTTTCGTCAATAATTTGATGCTATCTGAAGTGGTAAACATTAATTCAAACGTAATAATTTAGAGATCGTATGTTTAAGCTAGTTGATCACATTTACGAGGCGGGGAAAGTCCAAAAGGATTATAAACGGAACGTGGTAGCAACCATACCTAAAAAGAGAAGCGCGGATAGGTGGAAGATATTTAGAACAATTAGCTTAACTTCCCATGCGTCAAAAATCTTAACCAGAATTGTACAAGGTGGATGGAAAAAAGGGGTGAAAGAACTATTGTAGATTTAGAAAAAGCTTTTGACAATGTTAAATGAAACAAGATATTAAATATACTTAAAAATGTAGGGATGAGTTACAGAGATAAAAGAATGATACTTAGTTTGTATAAAGAGCTACAGGCAGTTATTAAGCTGGGGCTGCAATGTACAGAAGTAAATATTGGGAAGGGGATCAGACAGAGATGCACACTGTCACCGCTACTTTTTACATTGAAGACACGATCAAAATTAATAAGACAGTACAACTGTAGGGATAGATATACAGGGGCTAAAGATTAGTATGGTTAGATGTGCAGATGATATAGCAGAATTAGCATCTACCAAGCGGTATTGACAAAACAGTACTGTATGGAAATAAATAAATGCAAAACAAAAATACTGGTATGCAAGGGAAGAAAAAGTAGGTAAAAAGCAAATACAAAGATAGGAGACGAAAAATTAGAAGAATTGTCTGATTTTTGGTATCTAAGAAGTTAGATAGGTCAGAACGGATGGAGTAGTAGGGATATAAAGCAGAGGATAGTAAAAGATCGAGTCGCCTTCAATAAAACTAACTAACTTCTATGCTCGCGAACGATTAATTTAGAACGGTGTATGTTTGGAACGCAACGCTGTACAATTGCGAAACATGTACGGTGGGCTCTGCCGAAAAGAAAAGGTTAGAAGTGTTCGAAATGTGGCGTTACAGGCGAATGATGAAGATACCGTGGATAGAGAAGGTTAGAAATGAAGAGGTACTTGAAAGAATAGGAGAACAGAGGACTCTACGGAAGTGAATAAGAAATAGGCGACATAGGTTGGTAGGACACCTTCTTAGGCATGAAGGTCTAGCCAGAGACATACTAGAGGCAGAAACTGGAGTTTAGGAGAGGCAGAGGTAGACCTAGATATTAGATTACTATTCGCTAATAGATAAGAATGTGAGTTGTTCTAGTTTTACGGAAATGCGAAGATTAGCTCAGGATAGGAATGAGTGGAGGTGAGAGTCCAACCAGTCTTAGGACTGACGAGTTTATAATGATGAAGAATTTACCTACGGTACGGGTACAAAAGTCTAGCCGATGCAGTCACAGCGAGTGACGTTAAAGAAGCACATGCAGAATCGAAGATGAAAGGACCTCTGAAGAATCTCGCCACTGATGCTAACGAAAAGTTAGGAAGCAACTCCAACTGTTGTCGGCCTTTGAGCGGCCTTTAGATCCCGATAATGACAGCATCGTCATCAGTTCAACTATTGGCCGCGAAAGCCTTTTCCAATTTGTCAGATAATCTTGGTCAAAGCCTAACAAGGATTTATTTTATGACATTATGATAGACCTTTTTATCACCTGAGGAACGCGTGCACAACCCTTAGAGTAAAAAAGAGCAAACTCAAAAATTTTATCATCACAACAGGTGAAACTTTTAAATTTTTACATAACTGAATTTTTCTGTAAATGAGTAGATGATTTTACTGTGCGTTTCTGGTAAATACATATGAATTTTTTTTTAATTATGTTGCGTAGAAACTCTACAGTTCGCAATTTTGTACATTATATTACTCTGGAAAGATAATGATTTCTACACTAATTTATTTCACTAATACAGATATTGTTAACCTATTCTTCTAGCATCAATGTCAAAAAAAAAAATTAAAATTCGTGACCTATTGATTTTTTATAAATTCATACTTCATCTGCCTACCAGTTTCGACACTGTTAATATTTTTCGTACGAAATCCAACTAGTTCTTCTGGCTTAAACTACCTATATGTTGGACGTTATAATAGCGAAAACTTAATTTATTTCTGCGAATAATAATGAATTACCGTATTTGGTGACTTTCCGTTCATGGTGGCTTAATATGTTGACTGCGTTATCGGTCCCTGGAGACCAATGAGACTTCCTGTGTGACCTATTTGACGCTAAAATCATGGTACATACGACGCCTGTAGTTTTATTAAAAATTACGTTATGAAGTTTTTAAATACAGCAATATTTATGCTTATCGTAAATTATTAGAAGAAACAGATGAATGAGTATCGGTCTCTTGCGACCTATACAGCAAGAAACTATAAGAAAATAAGACAAAGTATGGGTGTAAGACATGGACAGTGGGCGCGGCGGAAAAGAAAAGGTTAGAAGCGTTCGAAATGTGGTGTTACGGGCGAATTATGAGGATACCGAGGATAAAGAAGGTTAGAAATGAAGAGGTATTAGAAAGAGTAAGAGAACAGAGGACTCTATGGAAGTCAATAAGGAGTAGGGGAGATAGACATATTAGAGGCAGAAACGGAAGTTAGGAAGGGTAGAGGTAGACCTAGATTACATTACATTTCGCAAATAGTTAAGGATATGGGTTGCTCTAGTTTTAGGGAAATGCGAACATTAGCGCAGAATAAGAAAGAGTGGAGGTGCGTTTCCGACCAGTCTTAGGACTGACGACCTTATAATGATGATGAAGACAAAGTCCATGAACGATTTGAGGTAGAGGGGGTTTAGTATCATTTGAAGATTTCCGCTCATTCACAAAAACAAAAAAAAGCAGCATCGGTCCATAGGGCTATTAAACTACATGGGAAATAAGTTGAATCTTGTTACTGACTTAATTTCACCCAATGTACTCAGGAAGGGATAGTATGATATCAAAAGGAAATAAGGTCTATAGTAGTAAGAAATGAGTTCTCATGGAAAACAAAAGGTTTTAAAGGCTACAGATTGTGTGGATAATGCTCAGCGTGAACCTATGAAGGGTAATTCTGTGATATTTAAGAGATTTTCGATTAATAAGTTAGATGTTAAAGAATTTGCAAATTATAGTAGCGACGATACTTATTTCAACAAAAATTTGTCTGTTGCCTCATTTGATGCGTTACTAGTCATCGGAAGGTGATTCGCTTCTGCCTATAACAAGAAAGAAGAGTTGTAAGCAGTAAACTGTTATATAAATCTCGGCTTACATTGAAATAGAAAGTACAGAGAGCACAGAAAATATTTGTATATCGGTTTCCGGCGACCATTATCTAACATGAGGAAAATTCAGTACCGGTATCTGTGAAAACCAAAAAATGCAATACCAACAATAATTTATAACGTCGCAACCAACGTGTTAAGGTATTCTTCATAAATATGAAGAGAGCAGTTACATTTTCTCATCCGCAGTTCATATTTTCTACATTTTCAATAATGATTAAACCATTTTTTACGGTATCAAAGACAAGGCTTCAGAATGTTTATAAAATAGAAGTTATTGTCTTTAAACGATTTATACCGTGTATCACTGTTATATTCTCTGTAACAACGCCGTTTTGATGTTCCTTTTCGCATCGACAACATCACAATAATGGATTCAAAAAATGTTTTTTTGTGAAATAAAATACTTAATTTTACATTTACTGTTTTCTATAGTTTGTATTCCGGTATTTTAGCACGTTTACTTACAAAAACCAATATGAAAAGGATGGCCGATACTGATGCATGCGCATACATAAAATCTATTGATGAAAAGGCCTATAAGAACGAAGAGTACAGGCAAAAATGCACCAATGTAATACGTCATATAAAAAAAAGAGCATACCTACCTAATAATAATAAATCTCCGTTTAAAATTTACCTAATTTTCTGTGATTCTGTAAATTACATCTTCTCCTTGTCCAGTAGTTTGCAATTTATACTAGTGTTACTGTCGTGGTACGCAAAAGTATCAAAATTTTTGTCTTGATAAAAGAATTACTTTAATAGGGAGATGACAAAAAATTTAACATATTAATTCTTGTTTAATGTTGTGAAATGCAGTGCGATTTCCTCAAAATACGCCGAAGAAGTTTGATTATTTTGACGGAAAATTTTCTAATTGGACAGTAGACTGCTCGAAAACTTCTCCCCCTCCCTGACGTAATAGAGTACTGTTACCCTGGGCCGGTGTTATCTTTCTCTAGGATATTTCTGTATTAATTAAAAATTGAACCAAGTTTTGAAAAAGGCGAAACATGAGTAAATTATGTAATTTACCTCATGTATATATGAAAATGGTGTGGGATTCCCTTGCAGAACATTTGAATTTTACAAACATGAAAGTCGTAATGTAAAAGATTCTCACATTTCGTTAGCTGCATTGGTAGTTGAGTATTATTGCAGCAGGTATCCAATACGCTATAACAACCATATAAATTTAGATTTTCAATTTTAAGTAGTGTAGCGAGCACGAGTGTGTTTGTGTGCAATCGGTCACACGTGTGAGGCATAGGCTTATCGATTCGCCGACTAGCCGCGGGCGCCTTCCTTCATCTGCGCCGTATTTGTAAATATGTGTGTAGTACCTGCATTCTGGGAAAGCAGTTAAACATTTCAAAGAAAAAATAAACTATCCGGATGTTTCCAGAAGGTTCCAAAAAGTAAACAAAAGAGTTTTTAAAGGAAGAGACGATCGCCGAAAGGAGGGGAAATAAATTGACCGTTGCAGAAGTGAATTCAGAAATAAATTGACAATGATAGCAGTGAAATAAATAGCGCAGTGAATAGTGATATATCAA